ACGTATATGGGTGTGTGTGTGTGTGATGTTAACGGATACAAATACTTAGTTGTGGAAATCCCTTTTCATTTTTAAAGTTCATATCCATGTTTTATCAAATGTGTTATGCACGCCACTGCTTGATCAGCGTTTTATTACCTCTTCTGATGACCCGGACATCTCAAACATCCTGTTGACAGAATTCCCTGTGTACACATCCACGCGTGTACAGAATTTCTTGGGGATGGATAAATGTGTTAGCAGTGCCACTGCATGAGAAGGCACATCCATGAATTTTAAAGATTTTTTATTTTTATTAAATGTTTATTTTGACAGAGAAAGTTCCATAACTTTGTTAGCTGCACAGAGAGTGTGTGTGCAAGCGGGAGAGGGGCAGAGAGAGAGCAGGAGAGAGAGAATCCCTAGCAGACTCCGTGCTGTCAGTGCAGAGCCCGATGCGGAGCTCAAACTCCTGAACCATGAGATCATGAGCTGAGCTGAAATCAAGAGTCGGACGCTCAACTGACTGAGCTGCCCAAGTGCCCCCCACACATGAATTTTAAAAGGTATTTCCAGGTCAGTTTACCCACTCCCACAGTATACAAATATTACCAATCACCATTCACATCCTTACCAGTATTTATTCTACATCACTGTCATTTTTTCCATTCTGATCAGTGTAACTTGTTTTAACTTGTGCATTCTAATGACTGATGACTCCAAGCACCGTCGTATCCCTTCTTGTGGACGTGCTGCCCTTTTCTTGCCACTTTACTGGATCTCATTTGTTCTAGTTACCGGTCTTGCCTTAGGTTAAGACAGTGTTTTGCTTTACAGACCTGAGATTTTCTGGATCTTTCCCTCTGGCATCACAAAAGCCTCCCTTAATTTCATTCTTTTTTTAATTCTGAGAAACTTTTAATTCATGGGTTTTCTTCCCATCTTGTCTTTTTGAAAACCCCAGGATATGGGTGTTCTACCATCCTCTCTGTTTTATTTTTCACATTGTACCTCTTTCTTCTTTCTGGTGTTGAGGGCGAAATCATTTGCCGTTGTCATTCAGCCCACTAACTGGCTTTTTGGCTGCATCCACTCTGCAGTTAAGCTCATCTAGTGAAGCATTTACTTCATGCCATTTATTGACGCCCTTTCCCCTTTCCCCCACCTCTTTTGGGATAACTGTTCCTGCTTCATATAACCAATACACTTTTCTCAAGGGATGTCTAGTAAGACCATTTTGAAATCCGGATTTCTACATCCCACTAGTGGTGGAGACATATGGTGTGCTCTTGGTAAACTCCTTAACTTGTCTTCTCCCGGCATTTATTCTTGCTGAGGTGTCTGGAGATCTCAGCTAATGGAAGGAGCTGGGCAAAGGCCTAACCCCTATTGCTGTTCCTCAGGGTGGCCTCAGCAGACGTATGTGTTACAGAAGAGAAAGCCCGCCCCCAGCTAGGAGGAACCCCCTCTTGGCACATTACATGATCACCAGAAGGTCCTCCTTCATCCGGAAAAACGTGCCTACTTATGGTAATGACATGGCTGTGGAATGAGGAAGGGATGATGCAGCTCACACTGTGTCTGTCGCGTCCACCCCTCATCTCAGCTGGATGGGGCTGACGCACCTGCTTTCGGTCTCACGAAGGACTGTGGTGGGCAGTGATGTGCTTGGGACACTACAGTGGAGAGCAGTGTCGTGTAGTCCCCGAGTTCCCCTTGGCACCGGCCTCCCTACTGTCTCTGGCTGCTCACACCTCCCTGCCGAGAGCCACATCTGCCCCCAGGGCACCCCTGCAGTCCCTGGACGTGTGAACTGCTTGGGCTTCTCTGGCACCCCAGAGTTGGGCTTGAGAAACAAGTCGGCAGCCCATGCTACTTCGTCAGTTTGGCAGGAATCACGGACTTTGAATTCAGGGAAGGGAAACACCGTTGGTTTGTGATGTCATCTCTGTGAGAAGGAAAAGGAATTTCCTTGTTTTGTTTCACTGCAGACAGCCTGCAAAGCTGGCAGTTAGCTGGGCCACAACCGGTGGACTGTGCAGTCTTCTCTGGGGAGCCTGGATGGACAGTGCCACCAAGCTCACTGACCTGGAACAAAGAAGCGGGTGACTCGGGGGCCTCCGAGGGGATAGGGCCTTGGTGTTAAAACTACGTCTTCATTTTGATCCACGTGAGAAGGAGTCAGTAAGCCACCGCTTCACTAACTCGAGGAGGATACAGAATATTGGGGGATCTCACGTGTCCACGGCCAGGAAGGGTCTGCCTTCTGCTCAGCCCCTGGAAACCCCTCTCAGAGTTCATGATCTGCTCACACCCCAAATTATGAGGTCACTGGTACAACACCCAGGAGCTCCTGCCCCGCAACTCACCCCCAAGTCTTTCAGTCCCCCCTTCAGTCCTTACTGCAGCACAGGGAGGCTCAAGTCCCTCTAGTGCTTTCTTTATGAACTCGGGCCTGTGTTACCTTACACACTTGCCAGGGACAGTTAAAAACTTTTCATATATTGTATTCCATCAAGTCTAAAACCATGATTTTACGTGCCTCTAGAGAAGAAAAACAGTGGCATTAAAGAACATGCCACTGATCTTACTTTCAGAGATGTAATAATATGAGAGCACGGACATGTTTGAAACTGAACAGATCACACCGCTCCATCATCAGAGAGGCAGTCCGGGACCACTTATGTGTACCAGGCTCTTTCACGCGCAGGCACTCGGTAAGAAGAATGTGGTGAACCATTGAAACTTTTTGAGTATTTTACTTAAAATGCATACCGTGTATTTAAAGCTATAATGACAAACTACGGTGGGAATCTTTGTAGGTATCATTTCTACAAATACACCATGAGTATATTTTCCTACACAAAACTATACAACCTACCAGACTTTTCATTCCTGCTATGTAGCATACTCACGATTATCTAGAAGAATGTGGAGGGAAAGTGCTAAGCAACAAAAACAGGTGGCACGAGTGATTGAAATACACAGAAAATATGGCATTTCATCTCAGCCGTAAGGGGTCAATTATTCAAATAGAGGCTATTCGGCTAATCACTGGAAAGCAAAGGTCCTTACCCTCCACACCTATGTTGTCAACTCACACTATAGCGATGATCCATGGATAACATAAATTAACCTAAACAAAATTTGTCATGCATTGTAAAAAGGAAGGTATACCTGACACTTTATCAGGCTCTAAAGGTTCTTAGGTCAATGATGTAACAATTCAAGGAAACATACATTTAATTGTTTCAAGTTGATTTGTAGTGCTCAAATTATTTACATCCAAATTTACAGAAAGTTAAGATAAAGCTCTCTATCAGTACTTACTTCTAAATAGATGATTTACCTAAAGTCCACTTCTCAATTGCATAATTCCTACAAAGGTATAACTTTGTATCTTCAGTTATGGCTAACAGAGCAACCAAAATCAACTGGCATAAAAGTAAATTTAGTCTACTACAGAAGAGACAGTCCAGAGGTGGCCCAGCTACATGGCTGGTTGGTTCAGTGGCTCAACGTCATCATCTAGGTCCCAGGTTCTCCTGATATTTCTGCTCGGCCATGCTTAAATTATAATCCGTATTTGAAAGACACAACCAGGCATCCCATGCAGAGAAGGCAACGTTCGACAGAAGACTCTACTTCACCCTGCATGATTCATCCCTCGAATCTTTGAAGGAATGTTTTCCAGAGATAACCTGTCAGATCTCTCCTTTGTTCATCTGCACAGAACTGGGTCCTGTGACCACTCTAAACCAATGGCTGGCAATGAGAAAAGGATTACCATTATTAACTGAAACTAGTCAGGATCTATCCCTCATTCCATGAGGAGGAATGGATACCCAAACTCCGCCAGCAAACAGTAAGAAGTGAGTGACGAGGGTCGTTCACCAACGTCTGCCACAAACCCGTATGAAGAGTTCTTCATTCATTCAGGAAGGAGTAGAGCACAATATTTAAAAACATTATATCAAGTAAAAATACGGATAATTACTAAGTTACACAGTATGTGTGCTCTGCACACTTACACATATGTAGGCATCTGAACTAAAAAAATAATAAAACAGATCGAAAAAAAATTAGTACAAATGGAAATACTTTAAGTCTTTCTGTTTAACTGTAGAGAATGCAACGAGTGCTATAGGAAACTTACTACTGGAAACTTCTGGCATTAACAAAATTATCTATATGGTTTTCTATTTTATGCATAGATTTCTATCTCTTGCTGACTCAGGTAAAGTTGAACACATTACAAAAACATTAGCTTCTTTATAGACGATTTAGTTCATTGACAGGGAAGAGTGGGAGAAGCAGTGTACTTCATACGCGATCAGATACGAGTTCAGTGACAGTATTAGGGTACTAACGTGGTGGAGCAGTTTCAAATGGATAATCTTACCATGTCTTAGAAATTATTCTACTAAGGTTACAATGGCTTTTCAAACATGATTCAAATGAACATACAATTCCTGTAATGGAGCATCCTAAAAACAAGGGGACAAACAAACTTAAAAACTCCTCAAAAACGTAAGTCCTACATTCCCAGGAACACTCACGTACGAGCATCAGTTGCGATGCTACAGCCTTGATCACTACCTGCTGATCTGACAGCTTCTGTTTGCACAAGTATCTTTACAACAGTTATTCAAGTTCCAAGAAGCTTGTTACTACATCACAAACATTTAATATTAATAATTTCCAAAGGAGTATGTTTTCCACCTCCGTTAAATTGAGAGATTTTCCCTTGGTATGAATTCCCTGATATGTAAAACAGTTTGAGTCCACGGTGAAGTTCATACACATCCTACATATTTATAAATGTTTACTTCCGTACAGTCTGGTATCCGACAAGTCCTTGTTACAACTGTGGTCTTGTTACAACTGTGGTCTCTACCCTGTGAACTCTCAGATTTCAAGTCTGACTAACACAAAGGCTCATTCGTGTGCATCACCCGTGTGAACTCTGAGGGACGACAGCAGGAGCTGCCCGCTCACCACGCTGAGAGGGTTCTTGGACTTCAGAGAAGCCTTCCCACATCCAGTACGTTCACACTCCCTCTCCTGTGAATTCTCTGATGGCTATTGAAGGCTGACTTGTGGTAGAATTTTTTCCCACACTCGTTACATTCGTAGGGCTTCTCTCCAGAATGAGTCCTGTAGTGCACGGTGAGGTAGGACATCCGAGAGAAGGCTTTTCCACATTCGTTACATTCAAAGGGCTTCTCTCCCGAGTGGATGCGATGGTGGATGGTGAGATAGGACATCTGGGAGAAGAACTTCCCACATTCGTAACACTCATAGGCTTTCTCTCCCGTGTGTGTCCTCTGATGTCTATTAAGGGCTGAATTCTGGCAGAAGGTTTTCCCACACTCGTTACATTCATACGGTTTCTCTCCTGAATGGATCCGATGGTGGATGGTGAGGTACGACATCTGAGAGAAGAACTTCCCACATATGTAACACTCGTAGGGCTTCTCTCCTTTATGGATTCTCCGGTGCCTGCAAAGGGCCGAGTTCTGGTAGAAGGTCTTCCCACACTCGTTACATTCGTAGGGCTTCACTCCTGAATGAGTCCTGTGGTGGATGGTGAGGTACGACAGCTGAGAGAAGAGCTTCCCGCACTCGTTACATTCGTAGGGCTTCTCCCCGGTGTGCACTCGTTGATGCCGCATGAGGGCGGAGTTCAGGTAAAAGGTCTTCCCACACTCATTACATTCGTAGGGCTTCTCTCCCGAGTGAGTCCTGTAGTGCACGGTGAGATAGGACAGCCGAGAGAAGAACTTCCCGCACTCGTTACATTCGTAGGGCTTCTCCCCGGTGTGCGTGCGCTGGTGTGTGGTGAGAGTAGACTTGCGGCAGAAGCACTTCCCGCACTCGTTACACTTATAGAGTTTCACGCCCGTGTGAATCTTCTGGTGGTCGTTCAGTGCTGACTTCTGCGAGAAGGTTTTCCCACAGTCGTGACAAACATAGGGTCTCTCTCCTGAATGTGTTCTCTGGTGCTGTGTGAGGTGGGTCTTCTGGCAGAAGGATTTCCCACAGTAACTACATTCGTAGGGCTTCTCTCCTGAGTGAGTTCTCTGATGCTGAATGAGGTGCAACTTCTGGTAGAAGGTTTTCCCACATTCGTTACATTCGTAGGGCTTCTCCCCTGTGTGTGTGCGCTGATGGACGGTGAGGGTTCCCTTCTGGCAGAAGGATTTCCCACACTGATTACATTCATAAGGTTTCTCTCCTGTGTGAGTCCTCTGGTGTATGATAAACTTTGACTTTTTACAGAAGGATTTCCCACATGCACTGCATTCGTAGGGCTTCATTTCCATGTGAGACCTCTGGTGTACACTGAGGTTGGACATTTGAAGAAAGGCTATTTCGGATTCATTCCACTTATAGGGCTTCTCCTCCATATGGTTAGCAAAACCTGGATCCTTCTGAAAGGCTTTCTGGCATTCAATATATTCGAAGGGTTTCCCCAAAATATGAATGTTCTGATAAATACTTTCTTCGTTTAGACTATAAGCTCCCCCACTTTGATTAAATTCGTAAGATTGGTCTCCTTGATGAGTTTTCTCAAGCTTCACACGGGGAAACGGTTTCCCACACGCACCACATTCGTCAGGCTTCCTTCTTGCATAGCTGCCATCACTACTGATATATTCTGAAATGGACTTCAAACTCTTTTCACATGAGCCACACTTATAGGACATTTTCCTTGAAGGAATGGGGTTTGTTTCCACATTTAAAGTCTTACCGAGAACATTACCTCTCTCTTCAGTCGGGGTTTTGTTGATGGACACAGCTTGCCTTGAGTGTTTGCCTTCATTCTCCTGGACCCTTTCAACCAGGTCATCGGCTTTCCAGACTTCTTCTAAAAAGAGGCAGAATTAACAACATTTCGTGTATCTCCTACATTAAGACATGGAATGTGACTTACATGCAAGCATTTCATCGTGGTGTAGATGCCCGCTCCATGGGCAGATGTAAATATTTCCAAGTGTACTTCTTTTCCCTACCCTCATGGTTTGGGGTAAACACATGCATGCATGCGCACATATACACATACCTCTGAGGTCAAGAAAGGGGAAAAGCTCAAGCACCTTTGATCTTTGCTGCTTTATAAGGTTTTGTTCAAAACTGGACAGAGAAGGTGAAATGTAAACACAGAGCAGGGATGGGAAGACAAGGGATGGTGGATGAGCAGCTGACAGGCAGATATGAAAGGACTCACAGCAAACAGGGATGAGTGAGGAGTGCTACCAGGCAAGCTGGGGTGCACAGATGCCTCAGGAAGCAGTAGGGGAGGGGAGGAGCCCAGCACTTTGTGCCACACCGTTTCCCATCAAGTTGGGGGAGATGATCACAGGCTCAGGCACCATCGCTTTTTACTGAGATTTCTGTGACAGCATTTTGACCAGCCTAGATCCTTCCACACTACTTTCTTTCGTTTCAGCTTCCGCACAGTGGGGCCAAATCAGCGTGTGCCCATGAAACTCTATTTGTTCTTATTTGGACGGTGCAGCATGCACTGTGGCTGGGTGACCAGCAAGTACTTAAGTCACCTATGATTCAGGATCATCCAGGGGTGAGACGGAGACAACGGTACCTACTTTATCAGGCTGCCGTGAGATTACATACATAAACTCATAAAGTGCTCAGAACAGCATCTGGCACAAAACACATGCTCTGTGAGTTTCGCAACTATTTTTCCCATTTTCAGACTCCTGGCGATTCCCTTAAACTAGTCTTGCCTCTGACATACCACACTGTCCCTTAATTCTGAATGTGAATAGGCTTCGCCACTCGTGACTTTCATTTGGTTTCATTTACAAACCTTAAAAATCAGATTCCCCAAACTGTTCCTAAAACAGTGACCTTTATTTTTACTTATCTTAACAAGTTTTTGGATGAACTTGACGGCCGTGCTTGCTGTCATCTACATCAGATGAAACCGTACCAGCCTTGTCCTCCAAAACCTACAATTCCCTGAGTGCACTGCCAAAACATCAACAGGTAAAACGAGGGAAAACATCTGACAGAGAATACTTTTTGCCCGGATTCACAGTGTGATTCCACCCTGGGTTTACACCAGCCTACGAAGAATTTCTGCCCCAGGGAAACCAAGCTATTTGCTAGACAAGAGGTGGCAGATGACCCATCCCAGGGCAGTTAGGTGTGCGGGAGGGGGCCTGACCCTCCGTCCCAGGCACCATGTGCTTCTGAGACAGCTATGGTGTGCCAACAGTGCCCAGCTCCTTTCAACCACAAGTCTCAGCTTCTATTGCTTTATTCAATCTGCTTGGCTTCCAGCCTTGATCTACTCAAGACCTGTCTTTCAGAGAGTTCCATGCTTTAAAAAAACAAACAACGGGGCGCCTGGGTGGCTCAGTTGGTTAAGCATCCGACTTAAGCTCAGGTCATGATCTCGTGGTTGGTGGGTTTGAGCCCCACGTCGGGCTCTGTGCTGACAGCTCAGAGCCTGGAGCCTGCTTCCGATTCTGTGTCTCCCTCTCTCTGACCCTCTGTCGCTCAGGCTGTCTCTGTCTCTCAAAAATGAATAAACATTAAAAAAAATTTTTTTTAATAAAACAAAATCTTCTCAAGTCCCTTCTCACCTCAATTAGATCCATTTCCCCTTAAAGTTGAAAATAACTACTCCCCATAGAAGGGCTTAAGCACGGTGGTTCAGCCTGGAACATCAACATCCCACGTGAAATGCTGAGGGTCTCTTTGTTTCTTTTAAGTAGGCTCTGTGCCCAGTGTGGGGCTTGAACTCATGAACCTGAGATTAAGAGTCGTGTGCTCTACTGACTGAGTCAGCCAAGTGCCCCTGAAATGCTGAGTTGTAAATTATACCACACAACTCTCTTTTCTTAACCAAATCCTGTCTCTTAGAAAGTATGACTACTCACTATTTCCTTTGAACCCCTGAACTGAAATCAGAGCTGTTGCTTTTGATCTGAAACTTCTGGGTATCTTTCAAGCACCTGCAGAATAAATGGGGATGTGACCCAGGTATGAATATTTAGCACCGCTTATCAATTACTTCTCAATAGATGGACAAGAAAGTTCTTTCACCTACTGGACTCCACACATACTCAATGTGGACTACATGTTACATACTTTGGCAAGGAGAACATACCCTTTTCTTTATAGGATTGTAATTTGGGAAAGAAAGAAGTCAAGCAAAATATATATAATATCAAGTAAGATTACTTGATCAGACCTAACTTTTTTCAAGGTATGGCCCTGAGGCAGAGTCACCTTCAGACAAGGAAGAGACCGAAATAATAATAAGAGCTGGAAGGAAAAGCTTCAAGGAGGGGCAGAAAACCTGGGCCCTGTGCTCAGTTATCTGGAAGAATGTGCTGTTATCTGGCAAACAGAGCACTCCCCTCCGAATTAAAGCAAAAGGGACAATAACCACATGAACAGAAGACATTTAGGAGGACCCAGTGGATTTAGCAAGAGTTCTGGGAAACAACAGAAAATTAATTTTTCAGGCACCACAGGGAAGACGAGGAATTTACACTTCCTTTCAGTAGCAGCAGGGAAACCCCTGAAGGCTCATCCTGGAAGACCAGTGATAAGATCAACTGGAAATTTCCAGGAATGCATCTTGCAAGTGCACGTAGCACGAGGGACCACTGGGCTGCTACCACAGGAGACTGGACAGGAGGACAGGGATGGTAAAGCATAAAACAAACAGGCAAACAACAACCCTAATGGCAGGAGAAGCCCTTTGAAGAACTTTGAAGAACTCAGGAAGCAGAACCCAACAAAGGGGGAAGCAGAGCCTTCAGAAATATTTCTGGAGCGTGGAGGGAAAGGAATCATAACTCATTCCCGTGCACCACACTCACTGAGCACCCACTAGGACAGGACAGCACGGTGAGTAAGGGACAAGATGGGACACACATGTCTGGGGCAGACAGGAGGCCCAGACACTGCTGTCACCCAGCTCAAGAAGGGTTGGATCTCGGGACAGATGAGCAGCACACAGGCGCACCAATGGCAGAGGTGCACCAAAGTCACTGGCTCAGGCACAGGATGGGGGTTTGGAATCTGACCTCAGTAAAGGGAGACACAAAAAGGGACAGAGACCTGTCTGAGGCATCTCACAGAAAAGAGGAAGAAGTAAGGAAGGTGGCAAGAAACCTACGAGTCCTGTCAGTTACTTTTTCATGACAGACACGAATGCCTAAAACCTGAAAGAAGCCATGATAACGGGCGACTGCAAATGCCATGGAGCAAGCAAGACCCGAGGCTCAGCAGGGAGAAGGGAGCTGCGGGGTCTGGGCTCTGGGGAGAGGCAAAGCACGGAAAAGCTCTGCAAACACAGGTTCTCACGGGGAAGGAGGAAGGCTCCGGGAGTGAGGCTTGGGTAGCTAGAGCACACACACAACTGTCTGTAGTCCCTTCTACAGGCTCAGGACCATGAGAGATTCCTGGGGAAAAACACTTCCGAGTTACCAGTCTCCGCACTGCCTGCACTAACACACCTGGGTAACTGTGTGGTAGGAATTCTCCTTCTACTATCCATGGCTCTTCTCCTTGTTCCAACTTGATGATAACTTCCGGTTTGATAATGTGACAGCCTGTTAATAGAAATGAGAGAGAACTTGAGCCTCACTGCTGGGCTGCCAGGTCTCTCATCGTCTGAGAACGGTGCTGCCTTATGAGCTGCACCACAATCAGAGCCTTGAACTGGGGAGGTGAAGACCAAAGGCCCTGCCTGGTGCCCAAAACAGACCACTCACATTTGTCCCATCAAATTCAAAGTTACAGTCGGTACATCTGAGGGAAATCCCATGTATCTTAGCAATCGAGAGAGCGGGCTCTCCTCACCCACAGAGACGAGGTGGCTGTAGTTCTCCAGCATCACATCCCGGTAGGTGGTCTTCTGCTCAGGATCCAGATACTGCCACTCCTCCTGGGTGAAGTCCACGGCCACATCCCTGAATGACACTGGCCCCTGTAATGGTACCGTGATCGGAACCAGATGAGGTAGAGAAGGCATACGGGGAGAAGAGCTTACCAAACTCACTGGTCAAGTGAACTACAAACACTGTTATCTCCTTTATCATGGAAAGAAAATAAATCAGAAATACGCTAGGATGAACTCATTCGGTAGTCACCAAAAAAAGAAAATACCATCTTGCACTGTGAGCCATGGACAGTCCTGGCTGCTGGGGACACGAAGACCAGCAGACACAGCCCCTGTGCCAAGGGGCACAGGCCTGAGAGGCACTCAGAGAAATGCAGGGTGCGCTTTGCTCCTCCTTTTTGCTTCCAGAACATTACTGATGTTGGCTCTCCTTTGACCTCCCCTGCTGACTCCCTTCTGTCTCCTTTGCTGGCTCCCCTGTTCTCCAAGACATCCTGAAGTCAGAGGGCCTGGGGCTCCGTTTTTGGTCTTTCACACTTTGCTATCTGCAACCTGCTGTGAGTATGTCAGCGTTTCGCAAACCTTTACCACCAGGCCAGACCTCTCTCCTAAACTCTAGACACGTGTCCCAGGTCCAAACTCAACAGCCTGAAATTCAACCACTGTTATCAGTCAACCTGATCCTCCTGTGCATGGAAGGAGCTGATCTGTGATATTTGCCACAACTGGCAAAGGAAGAAGCCAGGCAACACACATCCTTGTTGTGTGTGTGTGTGTTTTTTTTAATGTTTTTTATTTATTTTGAGAGACAGAGAAAGTTAGTGAGCAGGGGAAGGGGAGAGGGAGAGAGAATCCCAAGCAGGCTCCATGCTGTCAGCGCAGAGCCCAATGTGGGGCTCAATGTCACAAACTGTGAGATCTTGACCTGAGCCGAAATCAAGTCAGACGCTCAACCAACTGAGCCTCGCAGGCACCCTGTGAGTTGTGTATTTTATCGCAAGGTATGTCTAGCAGGCCTGACCATGGCTGCCACGTAAACTGTCAGTGATAGCTTGTTCAATTGTCCCTAATTCCTAGCTGGGAAGCTCGGAAGGAATCCCCTTTCTGCCCATTTACACATTCCAGGGGAGCCGGAGCTTGGTCCCAAGGAGGGACAAACAGACCCAGAGACTGCCCAAGCCAAACCTTTAAATATGGATCTTCTGAATAAACTGTTCCCACTCAAATACACCAGTCATTACAACCATCCCTCAGTATCACTAATTCTGAAATAAAGATAACAATGGTCCCTGTCAAGTATCATAATACCAGTATCAAAAGGGCTAATCCATGGAAAGCCCTGAACTAAGTTCTCTGGACATAATGACATCTCAGGTTACTGTTGATTATCCATTATGTATCTTATCGCTCTTTCCAAATAAGGACAAAAATTAACCAGAAAACACAAATAAATTTAATTTTTTTTTTCAACGTTTATTTATTTTTGGGACAGAGAGAGACAGAGCATGAACAGGGGAGGGGCAGAGAGAGAGGGAGACACAGAATCGGAAACAGGCTCCAGGCTCCGAGCCATCAGCCCAGAGCCCGACGCGGGGCTCGAACTCACAGACCGCGAGATCGTGACCTGGCTGAAGTCGGACGCTTAACTGACTGCGCCACCCAGGCGCCCCAGAAATAAATTTAAACAACTAAAGCCAATGAGGCTGTCAGATTTATGCAGTTGCCAAGGAGGGATTATAAAACAGTGCCAGTACATTAAAAGCAAAAACGCTCCTGTGATCTGACAAGGCATGTAAGGAGTGGTGTGGAAGGAGAAGGCTGTGTCCTGCTCAGGGGCCATTTGAGAGAATGACAAACTCCTGACATTGACTGAAAATCTAAAATATTTAACATGTAACGATCAAAGAGTGCAGGACGCATCCTGTTGGCAAGATTCCCTGAGACACCTGGTCACCTGAACCTGTTATTCTCCCAGGCTCCAGGTACGGGGACACCAGGGACCAGGTAAAGGTGTTCAGGTCTGAGCACCAACTGGTGACAGGGCACTGGGTGCTGTAAGAGGTGGTTCCCACCCAGGCCAGACTAATCTGTGTGCAGAACTGCCCAGGCCCGGTCTGTGAGGAGACAGTCCTGGAGGTACAGTAAGGAGGTATTCCAGAAGCTCTGCCCGGCCTTCATTCAGACACCTCCAGCCACAACTGCAGCCGCCCTCATGAAGATCGGCATCCAGAAGTTCACGTGTCAAAAGTTATTACCAAAAGCAAAAGAGCAAGGGATTGAAACAGGACGTAGTTTCATTTCAATGAATAAATAGAACAATGTACATCTTATTCTAACTTCTGGCTTTGCACGTGTAATTTCACAAAACGTGCAATTTGCGCGGACTTTTTTAATGCTTGCATTTTGGTCTTATTAGGGGGGGAAGCACACTAAGAAAAAAATTACAATTTTTGTTGTTTGTGACGTACGTAAAATAACTGCAGTGATGCTCCTTAAAAAGAACATTATCGTGAATGTTCCAAACTGAATTTTTTCTTTGTGACAAGTTTGAGTAGTTTGCCCAAGTTCACGTTTATGTGCAAAGGGAGAAAACTACACTGTTCTTTCCCCAGCTTCAAGCAAGCAGCTTTACAAAAGCACTTTAAACTCAAGGAAAATGGGTTTCAGAAAACCTGGTTAACAAATTAAGAAACCAGTCAGAACTGCATTTAGGGATTTCAGGTCAGTTTCAAAAGGGAACAACCTTTGCTGTCTTAACACTCAGTACAGCTCATATTCCAGAGATGGCTTTGTAATCAAGAATGCAGGGCTGGCTACAGAGTTTCACATAAGCCAGACCGTCAGACATGAGGGTAAGAACACCCTGTGAACATCTCAAGCTGCCATGTTGTCAGAGGTTTCTGATGCAGACAGTGCTGCTCTCTCCCCTGGTGTGGGGGAGGGAGAACAGGTTTTCTTTACCTTTCTGAGACTCCTTTCAGCAGTGGCTAGAAGGGCACAGCACTGGCATTCCATCAGTAAAGACTGACAGAGAAAGAGACCCCCTCAGAGGATTGCAGACAAGGACCCAAGTGCAAAATGACTTTACAAGGGGCCCTTGTGTGTCACAGCCACCTCCGCATGTCACAGAGCTCACATGCCTTGCTGGGGCCCAAACAACAGAGAACAGCAAGAGCCTACTGGGGCGGGAAGACTGCAGTTCAAGGGTCCCCACTGAGCCAGACTCCTCTTGAACATCCAGGAAAAAGAAAGACATTCTCAGACATGTGAGGCCTGCAGAGTCAGGAAGTCAGTACACCAGTCTGCGGCCCGTCCAAGGACAGCAACTGCGGCCGTCATCCAGAGCCAGGAGAGGAAAACCAAGGATGCACAGAAGTAAGAGGGAAACACCATGAAGTCCTCCCCACTCACCACCGTGGACCGTCTACTAACGAAGTGGCAGCTCCAGTGCTGACTGCTGAGGGAGCTCTGGAACTAGGAGTCCTACCCACACAAATTTTGAGAAATTTAAAAAATGTACAGTATTCAACTCGTCAAAATGAAAACATTAGAGGACTATATAGTAAGGCTGGAAAATAAAGTAAGAAGACAAATAAGCTCGGAAGAAAATGTTTACTAACATGATCCAAACAGACAAAATGTGAAACAATTAAGACTCCTTTGTAAGTCAAGAAGAAAAGCACAACAAACAAGATAGCATAGGGACAGAGAGACTAGCAGTGGATGTGAACAGGCATTTCACATAAAACCAGAAACAGACCAGTCTGAAAAAGCTACAGGCTGTATGACTCCCAACAGTAGCTGACCACTGACTGATGCGGGGGTGAGGGACACTGACCACCGCCCCCCCCACAGTTGAAAGTCCACATATAACTTTGGACTTCTGCCAAACTAACTACTAATGGCATGCTGCTGACCAGAAGCCTTACTGATAACCTCAAGAGTCGATTAACACGTGTTTTTTACATTATGTGAATGCCAGACTGCATTTTTACAACGAAAAAATACAGAAAATATCAAGAAAATCATGAGGAAGATACCTTTATGGTCCCATGCTGTACCTATTGAAAAATATCCATGAAAAATAACCCAAACAGTTCAGACCCGTGTTGTGCAAAGGTCACCTGTATGTGAAATCCTGAGAAGGGCAAAACCATACACACAGCGTAGAGGCTTGTAATTGCCAGAGACTGGGGGAGGAAAGAATGAACATGTGGTGCCCAGGGAACTTTCAGGGCAGTAAACCTGTTCTGTATGATATTGTCACAGTGGACATACGCCATCTTACAGACGTCAAAACCTGAACCATACAAGGAGCAAACTAACATCAACTCTGGACTTCAGATAATAATGTATCAACACTGGCCCATCCACTGAAACAGTGTACCACACTAATGTAAGATGTTAATAACAAGGGAATCTGAGACATGAAGGAGTGATGGGATCTCTGTACTGTCTGCTTAATTTTCAGATGAACCTAAACTGCTCTAAAAATGACCTACTGTGGGACGCCTGGTGGCTCACTTGGTTGAGCGTCCGACTCTTGATTTCAGCTCAGGTCATGACCCCAGGGTCATGGGATTAAGCCCCATGTCGGGGCTCAACGTGGAGCCTGCTAGACCTTCTCTCTCTCTCTTTCTCTCTCTCTCTCTTACCCCTCTCTCCTGCTAGAGCTCCCTCGCTCGCTCTCTCTCTCTCTCTCTAAAACAAACAAAGAAAGAATATAACAAGAATATGAACAAGCAAATGTGGTAACAGAGAATGAAGAAAGAGATTAGAAAGAATCCCATTTTTCTGGATTCAGTGACAGGCTGCTCAGTAGAACAAAGAGCCGACAGGGACGAGAGCAGAAGGCATAGGTGGGGGCTACAAATAATTACTATTAACCTGAGGTGTCCTTTGGACAACCTCCATGGAAACGCTGGTAGGTGGCTGGGCAGAGGCATCTGGTCCATGTGGAAGAATGGACAGAGTGGGCAGTTCAGAGCACAGGAGGGTAAGTCAGACAGGTATAAAGGTCGTGAGCCAGGGATGGAAAAAACACATGAACAGGGCAGATCAGTCAGGAAGAGAGTAGAAGAGGTTTGTCATAGAACCAACAGAGCAGACCTTGAAGATGGAAAGCTAGCAGAGCAGTCCAAGGCAAGGACTGGCAAATCGCTGGCTTTGTACAATTAGCTCATGGGTAACCTTTACTGGGGCAGGTTCTGGGGACAGGCAGGGACAGAACCAAGACTGCAGGAGAAAACATGAATAGGAACTAAGCAATCTTTGACAGAGACATGACAGCACAGTCTGAGATGCACACCAGATAGGCTAGCATAGAAAAATATTTAGCAAGACTTACTGGAGGGTGAGAAGGCCACTCCTCCAGAGTATCCTCATTTTACCCCTGGATCAAGCAGTAAAAACAATGTATCTATGGAATGATGTTGTAGTTTCCAGAAAAATTATATGCACTAGGTGATCCCTGGACCAGTATGTCTCAGCTTACAGGAGGCACAAGTAAGGCACCAAGAGCCGTGGTTTAGGGGCTGCCATTTAGGGAGCCGGGTCACAATTAAAGTGAGATGGTCAAAGAAACTGCAAAACCCTTGAGAAAACAAACCTGTTTCTCAACAGGTCAGTGTCAGTCCAGTAACAAATGGCATTTGTCATTTTTTTCAATGAAT